CGCCCCCATCGCCTACGCTCCCGCCCCCGTGGCCTACGCCGCCCCCGCAGTCGCCAAGGTCGCCGTAGCCGAGCCTATTGTAAGTACAAATCGATTCTCCCGCTCCGCGTCCACGCATGTCCGCACTGACACTCTCTTTGCCCCAGGCCCATCCCCGGTACGCCTTCAAGTACGGCGTGCACGACGCGCACACCGGGGACGTCAAGAGCCAGGCGGAGGAGCGCGACGGCGACGTGGTGCGTGGCGAGTACTCGTTGCTGCAGCCCGACGGCACCACACGGACGGTGCACTACACGGCCGACAGCCACAACGGCTTCAACGCCGTGGTGTCCATCAGCGGCCACGCCGCGCACCCCGTCACCCCCGTCAAGGTGGCCGCCCCCGTGGTGCAGCAGGTGGCCGTCCAGGCCGTCCACGCGGCGCCGCAGTACGCGGTGCAGACCGTGCACCAGGCGCCGCAGTACGCCGTGCAGACCGTGCACCAGGCGCCCGCCGTGCTCTCCCTCGGCCACGGCGGCCTGGGCCTCGGCCACGGTGGCCTCGGCGGCATCAGCCTCGGCGGCCTCGGCGAGTACGGAGGACATTATTGAGTCTCTAGTGTTCCTATGAGGTCTATGTGCCAAGACACGAGCAGGCCTGCGCCAGCCCCCGCAGTGCAGCGGCTGCTGCTCGAAGTCCTCGCCTACCTGACGAGCCCCGTGCAAGCGCGAGCTCTTCCTCGGGGGGCCCGCTGCGCTCGCCCTGGACTTTGACATTCAGGTTGACTACTGCCCTCTCCTCCCGTGGCGCCGCAGCCGCTCCAGTCAACTGGCTCCGGTCTCCAGCGGAGGTCAAGTGCCTGTCTGGAAGAGCCAGCAACAATGGGCGGAAAAGGGGGGGGGGATGATTTATTCTCATTTGAAGGGAACTAAACGAAAAGAAAACCAAAATAAAGCTGTGTTGCCAAATCATAGTGACCGGTGCATTTTCCATGTGTAGCGTACACCACCACCTCCACCCCGGCGGCGAAACCTGTTCTAATTTTTCACCCGCGTGTGCTAATTCGCTTGTTCATGGATATTTCGACGTCGAACTGACGCCTGCTCCAAATAAATTATCATCACGATACGGTTGCGTGCCGGGCGGCCTCCCTCTTTTCTCCGCAGCGGGTGAAAAGCTCGCGTGCCCTGGCGATTCTGTCTCGTCGAGTTCACCTTCGCGCGCGGCGTGGACGGACGCCCTCCGCGGGTCGGGGCTGCGCCGGGCTGCGTCCCCGACGGCCGCTGCGTCCCGGGCGTGCTCTCCGCGCACTCCCCGCACGCGTCCCCGCCGCGCCAGTGGCGGCACGTCAAGCGGTCAGAGCGGAGCAGGTTTCATGGAAAACAGTCCGAGGGGCAGAGCCGGGCAGAGCGAGGGGATGCTGAAAATGGAGCACGCAGGGCACAGGCCGGCCGGCCCGGAGTGGGTTGTTGCACTTGCACTGAAGCG